TTTAATTAATCAAAAACAATTTAAAATTAAAATATAAATAATTAAAAACATTCCAAAAACAAAATCTTACATTAATTCTTTCAAATGTAATAATAAAATAAATCTATTAAAAATCAAAACCTACCGCACGAGTGAACTTCATGGACTTGTAGTCATTCCAGTTAAGTGGGTCCTCTGCCATTTTTCTCTCTCTGATTCCCAAATGTTCTTTCTACAAAATTCATTAATTTTTTTTATAAAAATAAATTTAAAAGAACTAATTCCAAGAAGAAATTTAAAAAAAAAAAAAAAAATTAAAAATCAAAAACTCACTCTAAGTTCTTCAAGAACTCTTGGATGATCATGAAGATACTTCACAGCCATCATTGAAGTAGTCGAAACTGTCTCATACCCAGAATACAAAATCGTAATTATCTGATCAATCATCTCTTCATCGCTCAATTTATATCTGTTTTCCACACCACTCATCAACAAACCAAGCATATCTTTATGGGTTTCTTGAGAACGTCTTCTTTCATCAATCAATTCCTCCAACATTCTCACAATGTTCTTCCTAGCCTGAAATCGCAAACACATTTCAAGATTCAGTACAATTTTCAACTTAAAAACGACAAATTTGAATAACTTTCACTTTTACAGACCTGTAATCCGCGATGATAGTTTGTGTTCGGGAGGTTAATTGGAAGCGAAAGAGTCCCGACAACAAGGTTGAAGAATTCACGCATGAATTCTTTCGATAATAAGGAAGATTCAGTTCCAGAAATTTGTCTGAGTGATGATAAAAGCGCCATCTGTGTAATCAAAATTTGAAAAGATTAATTGAGAAGATGAAGGAAACGAAGAGTTGTAAAGTGAAGTTGAATGAAATTGCAAACCTCTTTGGTCTTTTCTTGAATGTCGATGATTTGATTATTCCAATTAAGAAGATGGGATCTCATGAACTCGTCGATTTTGGAGAGGATTTGTTCTCTGATGATTGAGGGGCTAACAAGTGATAACAATGCACCTCTCATGTTCTTGTGAGCAGAGCCATGAACAGCTGCGATATTCGATTTGCCCAAAATATCGAGCATGGATTGAGGGTATCCTGGAAGGATTCCTTTGCCTTCATTCATGAGAATGAATCTATTAAGTTCTGGGTCCATTGAGACAATTGTAGGGCAACCCAAGATATGAGATTTGAAAACGCTTCCATAACTAAAATCAAGAAACACACAAAAAGTGAAATAACAAAGAAACACCCAGATGAAGATGAAAATGGTGCATTTTTTGAGGTGGGGTTTTTGAAAAAGGTAGCTTTTTGATGTGTCATGGTGAAAATGAGGCGTTTTTGAGGTGGGTTTTTCAAGAAGATCAAGAAAAAGGTTGACTTTTTGTAAACATGTGTGAATCTTGAATCTTGAATCTTGGAACAAACACACTTGGTAATGTATTATATATATAATACCAGTGTCAATATCATCAAGAAAACAAAGTGAAAAATGAAATGATACATTTTTCTGAGTTGGGTTTCTCAAGAAGATGAAGAAAAAGGTTGCTTTTTATGTGATAAAAATGTGAAGAAATGAAAATAAAGAAAAAGAAAAAGAAAGAAACCTTGCTCTCTGGTTTTTCATGAAGCTGGGGCCTTGTTTGAGGAAATCAGTGGTCTCACCAAAAAGTGGCCAACCCATGGTACCAGGGGGTAGGCCTTTCTTCTTGTACTTCATCTCATTCCATCTCAAAAGGAAAGTGCTCAAGAGGCAAAGTCCCAATACAACTCCAATAATAACTGTGAAAATAGCCATGGATGCTCTTTCTCTTTCTTCCAAGCTTCTATAACAGAGAGATAAGAGGAAGAAGAAGAAGATGAAGAAGAAGAAGAAGGAAAGAGGGGGTTGCTGAAGTTTTTTGCTTGTAAAGAATGTGTATATATAGGCCCTTATGGGGTGGGTGGGGTGGAGTGGCGTGGGGGATGGATGGGGGGAGGTGCCATGTGTTGAGTTAAAAGGAGTGACTTTACTATCCCATAACATAACAAGTATAATAGTTATTGACTTATTGTGTATATATTGCATTTAACTAGTTACCATTAATCCTAAATATACATGGAAGATAATCAATACGATTTAATTCAAATGTTTATATGCAATGCGAAATCTTAAAGGAGTTTCTTTAAAAGTAAATATTTATATGGTAAATATATAAAGATATAAATCTTGTTCCATATAGGAGAATTCTAAAAAATCAACTTTAAAAGAAAAGATTATAATGTTTTATAAAACTCTAGGAGAGAAAATCCAATCACATCTAAGACTAAATAAAACAAAATTAGTTATTAAAAAAAGCATCATTCAACTATCTATTCAATTTTCTTATAAAGTTTATCTAAAGCGAGTTCCAAAATCTTCGGATATTAATATTGTACTAGGTGTAAGATCCGTGTAGTATATGAGTTTATTAAAAATATAAAGTTAATATAAATTTGTAAACATTATTTAAAAGTAATATTTTCATATAAATAAAAATGATATAATTATGAATAAAGTAAGTAATTCAATATATACTAATAAAAAATATTAACATAGTTTAAAGAGTTTAGGTCATTTTTGGTTACTTAACTTTTGGTTTTGTACTCATTTGGTCATTTAACTCTTTTTAAGTTTTAAAAGGTCATCAAACTTTTGATTTTGTGCTCATTTAGTCACTTAACTTTTGTTTTGGTCACATTTAGTCACCAAACTTTTAAAACTGTGCTCATTTAGTCACTAAACTTTTAAAATTTTTAAAAATTTTAGTGACTAAATGAGCACAATTTTAAAAGTTAGGTGACTAAATGAGCACAAATCTAAAAGTTAAGTGATTAAATGTGACGAAACCAAAAGTTAAGTGACTAAATGAGCACAAAGTCAAAAGTTTGATGACCTTTTAAAACTTAAAAATAGTTAAGTGACCAAATGAGCAAAAAACCAAAAGTTAAGTGACCAAAAATGACCTAAACCCTACTTTAAAAAATGATGTTGAAAATTTAGGTGTAAATATTAAATATTTTTTTTAATTAAACTTTCAAAATAAATACAAACGAAATGATAATAATTAGATAGTTAAATGTATACTAATAAGAAAAACTATTGACATATTGACATGGTGGACATAACATTGAATTTCTTTTATCTAAATATAATTTTATATGTTTGTGTTTGTCTTTAGAGTCGTTTGAATCCATATTATGTTTTTATCTTTAAAACAATAATAAATCCTAAAATAAAATTATGATGAAAAAATGTTATCAAATTTTAAAAGTCCAATTATTAAAATGGAGACATTATAAATTTAAATGTGTAGCTATAAAAAATATTGTTAATAACTACACATTTTACATGACTTGAGTTTAGTAAAATATAAATTCACATTTCATTTATTGTTTCTATATGTATTACATGTATAAAATATAAAATATATATACTACTTAATTGTCATATAACGAATAAAAAAATATTATAGATAGATAAAACACTTAGTATTTTCTTAAGTATATTTAGAAAAATATAAGAAATATATGTATATATAGGTAAATATAAATTTATATTGAAATAAAAGACATTTACCTAAAACATGACTTAAAAAATATTTAACGTTAATCCCTTGAAATTTGTATTAAGTAGCTATCATATATAAACATTTACTAAGGAAAAAGAAACTTCTAGATCATTTATTATCAAGATTAATAGAATTAATGTATCTACCATATATAAACTCTTACTAAAAAGTGAATTTTAAATTTTAATAAAATGAAAAACATAAGACAATGACAGGTGGAAAAAATAAAATAAAAAATTTTTATAAAATAACATGTGTCAAATGTAATGAGAATAGGACATTTAGCAAAATCATTTTCATTTATTATAGTAGAAGTAAGTTCCAAAATCTTCGTGTATTAATATTGTACTAGGTGTAAGACCCGTGTAGTACACAAGTTTATTAAAATTAAAAAATTAATATAAATTTGTAAACATTACGTAGTATTTTTTAAAGTAATATTTTTACATAAATAAAAAGGATATAATCATGAATAAAGCAAGTAATTTAATATAAACTAATAAAAAATATTAACATACTTTAAAAAATGATGTTGAAAATTTAGGTGTAAATATTAAATATTTTTTTTAATTAAACTTTCAAAATGAATACAAACGAAATGATAATAATTAGATAGTTGAATGTATACTAATAAGAAAAACTATTGACATATTGACATGGTGGACATAACATTGAATTTCTTTTATCTAAATATAATTTATATGTTTGTGTTTGTCTTTAGAGTCGTTTAAATCCATATTATGTTTTTATCTTAAAAACAATAATAAATCCTAAAATAAAATTCTGATGAAAAAATGTTATCAAATTTTAAAAGTCCAATTATTAAAATGGAGACATTATAAATTTAAATGTGTAGCTATAAAAAATATTGTTAATCACTACACATTTTACATGACTTGAGTTTAGTAAAATATAAATTCACATTTTATTTATTGTTTTTATATGTATTACATGTATAAAATATAAAATATATATACTACTTAATTGTCATATAACGTATAAAAAAATATTATAGATAGATAAAACACTTAGTATTTTCTTAAGTATATTTAGAAAAATATAAGAAGTATATGTATATATAGGTAAATATAAATTTATATTGAAATAAAAGACATTTACCTAAAACATGACTTAAAAAATATTTAACGTTAATCCCTTTAAATGTGTATTAAGTAGCTACCATATATAAACATTTACTAAGGAAAAAGAAATATCTAGATCATTTATTCTCAAGATTAATAGAATTAATGTATCTACCATATATAAACTCTTACTAAAAAGTGAATTTTAAATTTTAATAAAATGAAAAACATAAGAAAATGACAAGTGGAAAAAATAAAATCAAAAAATCTTAGAAAATAACATGTGTCAAATATAATGAGAAGAAGACATTTGGCAAAATCATTTTCATTTATTATGGTAGAAGTGAGTTCCAAAATCTTCGGGTATTAATATTGTACTAGGTGTAAGACTCGTGTAGTACACAAGTTTATTAAAAATAAAAATTTAATATAAATTTGTAAACATTACGTAGTATTTTTTTAAAGTAATATTTTTACATAAATAAAATGGATATAATCATGAATAAAGTAAGTAATTCAATATATACTAATAAAAAATATTAACATACTTTAAAAAATGATGTTGAAAATTTAGGTGTAAATATTAAATATTTTTTTTAATTAAAATTTCAAAATAAATACAAACGAAATGATAATAATTAGATAGTTGAATGTATACTAATAGAAAAAACTATTGACATATTGACATGGTGGGCATAACATTGAATTTCTTTTATCTAAATATAATTTATATGTTTGTGTTTGTTTTTAGAGTCGTTTGAATCCATATTATGTTTTTATCTTTAAAACAATAATAAATCCTAAAAAAAAATTATGATGAAAAAATGTTATTAAAATATAAAAGTTCAATTATTAAAACGGAGACATTATAAATTTAAATATGTAGTTATAAAAATTATTGTTAATCACTACATATTTTACATATATATAAAATATAAATTCACATTGTATTTATTGTTTCTATATGTATTACATGTATAAAATATAAAATATATATACTACTTAATTGTCATATAACGTATAAAAAATATTATAGATAGATAAAATACTTAGTATTTTCTTAAGTATATTTAGAAAAATATAAGAAATATATGTATATATAGGTAAATATAAATTTATATTGAAATAAAAGACATTTACCTAAAACATGACTTAAAAAATATTTAATGCTAATCCTTTGAAATGTGTATTAAGTAATTACCATATATAAACATTTACTAAGGAAAGAAACAGCTATAACATTTATTCTTAAGATTAATAGAATTAATGTATCTACCATATATAAACTCTTACTAAAAAGTGAATTTTAAATTTAAATAAAATGAAAAACATAAGAAAACGACAAGTGGAAAAAATAAAATAAAAAAATCTTAGAAAATAACATGTGTCAAATGTAATGAGAAGAGGACATTTGACAAAATTATTTTCATTTATTATGGTAGATTAAGAGAAATTAAATTGCCTCCTACCTTTTATACCTACAAATATTTCTACCCATTAAAATTATAACATGTGTCACAATTCCATATTTACTTAACTATCTCATTAAGAGTATATTATATTATGAATATATCAAATAAAATTAAATTGAATGGTGGAATGATGACACATGTCACAATGTTAGTGGGTAGGACTATTTGTAGGCATAAAAGGTAGGAGACAATTTAATTTCTCTTGTATTAAATATAACAGAAGCAACAAAGTAAAATCCGTAGATTGTTTCATCTCTCTGATACTCCTTTGCTGTCTTCACGATTAAACCTGTTTTTATTTATTTATTTATCATTTCCATTGTCATTTATATATATATATATATATATATATATATATATATATATCCAATGAAATGAGTAAAAATCTCAAATCAAATCACGTCAATAACATTACATCCGTCATGTTTCCGGCTATCAAACAACTCATTTACTCCTATTAATTGTGTTATCCAAAGCATTCACAAAGTAAATAAACACGTCCAAACATTTTCCATGCAACAACATGTATCACAAAGCATATTTTAATCAATAAATAGATAAATTCCCTTAAATTTCGTATTTTGAATGATATATATTTTCGTACAAACAACCACAAAATTCAAACAAATCTCTCCCCATATTCTATAGCCATAATGAAGCTTGGTATACAAACCACATCCCACATTTTATGAAACACCCCTCTTGGTTTAATAATTTAAAAACATTTAAAA